TAAAATTGACATCATGTCATTGAAATAAAAACGGATTAACAATAAGATTTATGTGTGTAATTATATATATTATTTTTAAATAGAGTATCCATTTCCCATATTAATGGTTTTAAAGTGAATTATAATCAAATTCTGAGGAGACCAAGATAATTTATCATCAATCTTAATATAACGAATCTTTTGGTATTTTCAGGGATATATCTTGGGGCTAACCGCCTGTGTTCCCTTCAGTTTCCCTCTATCATTTGCTTCTCGTGCCTCACCTTGGATTTTTCGCTTGCCTTAATGCCTTTTGCTTTTACATTTCTTTGATCGGTCGAATCCACTCTCGATTTCGTTTGCCCACTCTTGGGTTCTTGTTTGTTAAAGTTAAAAAGCATGTGTTGCTAATTAAGTTTAATGGGTCAACCTTGTTAGTTTCATTGGAGCCCAAATTAAGGATCCCATGACAAATTGCTGAACCATTGGAATTATTATAAACATGCGCCGTCGAAACAAAGTGCCATCATTGATGACAAGAAAGCAAAGCACTAACTTTGATTGAATGACATATGCCTACTCTCCTCTTTTAGTGAACAGAGATAATGCCATGCAGAAGTGAAAAAGAAAGGAAAAGACTGCCTGGAATCATTTAGCTTCCTTTGCCTTTCATTGTCCTCTCATTTATAGTATGCAAAAATTGCCTAGTTTCAATCCTCTTTTTTTGTTAGAGACTCAATTTCAATCCAAATCAATCAGAATTCAAAGTAAAAAGTAATATTAAAATTCCATTATATGGAGATACACTGTGATAATGGGTGTGTAAATGAGTTGGATTAATTGTGACATTAGATAAGAAAAGAGGGATGATGCTAGATAAGTTAGCATAAGACTGATGGAAATTGGCTGACTATTGCAGTGCGTAAGGAATGTGAGAAGAGAGGAGAGGGTTAGTGTAGATAATGAGTTGGGAGAGATAAAACCATACAATGCAAAAAATAATGGTAAATAATTCCAAAAAACGATAAACATAATCACACGAAAAGTAAATAATGAAATATTTATCAACTTTTGCATAACAACAACTCTTCTTATCATGTTAGATCCGACAAATAATTTCGTGTCAAAATATTTATATATTTGACAAGTTTAATATTTCAATGAAATTATGTGAATTTGATAATTGATGTGTCAGCATTGAATTGGACGAATGATGAAAGATAATCAAATTAGCGAAAAGTTTTAACACAATGTTGAGAAACTAAATTGAAGCTTTTAGAACATTGACACCACAATGACAACACCCAAAACTTGAAAGATGAGCTAATGTAAAATTTGCCTTACAAAATTTAATTTTGTACAAGGTAACAGCTTTGTTCCTAAGAAAGCCAATGGTGAGAGAAGAGAATAATCTACTTTTTCAGAGTAGTATGATTATGCTTTTATCTTTTCATTTCAAGCTGTACAAAGGTTATTAATCAGTCGGCAAAATCTTGGAGGGATAAGTATAAAGGATGGACTCCATATATCAATTCTCCTTAAAAGCAATATGGTGGGAAATCTATGTAAAATAAGGATTTCCTTTTTCTTTTTCTCTTTTTCCTTCCTTAACTTTAATTAGATCAGCAAGTCTTTTCTCTTTGCTCTTATAATTCCATAAAGTTGTATGTTTTAGAGTCAATCATCAATCTATTTAGTTTACCTTGTTGTTTCTTATTTCATATTTATAAGGGCCAATCATCTAAACTAAATAGTACTTAAGCGATCTCTATTGTAGGTTCATAAATAATTTGACTCCCTTTCATTGTTTCTTTTTACATACGTTTCAATATAACTGTAATCATCTTATTCATGTGTAAGGAATTCTCAATTTTAGAGAAATTTTATACATCCGAACAATGGTGATAAATGTATTTAAAAACAAATGATGATAAAAAATAATAAAAGGGAGCAAGACTCATTGAATAGAATCAATTAAAAGAAAAAACGAATTGTAGTTCGATACAAAATTAGAGTACAATTATTATATATCATTCATATAGTAATTAAAATTTTGTACAATTATTGTATTCATTTCTCTCGTGAAGGAATAAAGTTCAAGATTTAAATCCACACTTTTTTCTATATATATATATCCAAAATATAATTATATATTACCGACACAAAAACTTATACCATTTATAGTTTCATTAAATCATTAATGAAAAGTACTAACTAATTGAAATAATTTTTGAGGAGTTAAAAGGTCAAATCTATATACCAATAATATCTTTTGATGTTTACCGACGTACGGATGATGTGCGATTTGTGTGAATTTGAAAAAAGATTCTCACGCACAAACAATGAAACTCCAATCTTCTAATCTTAGTCCATTTCAATAATTGAGAGAGGCACATTGTTTCACTACAATTATTGCTATCACTCTCAGCTCACCACAGTCTACAAGGACTTAGTTTGACAATTGCCACCTTGTTAAGCTGGAAAACAATTTTATAACTTATAGAAACTTATAAAAAATTAAGATATTGACTACTTATAGCAAACTCATTCATCAAATTATGCAATTAATCTCTATAAGATGTATAAAAAATGTGAAATTGATTTCTATATAATAATTTATATAAATTAAATTTTTGTATTTTTTTTAATTTGTAAATTTTAATCTAAACTTTTATTAATTTTATTAAATTTTCACTATTAAGTATGTTGATTTAATATTTTAATTAAATTAATATGACGTTGATTGAAATGATGTGATATTTTTTTATTAATGTGACGCTGACTATAAATTGACATAGTATTTATTATGTTGACGTAATATTGATTGCATTGATAGTAGTTTACTCATTTAAAAAGTCTAAAAGACATGATGAAATAATTATTGGGAGACGAGTCATAAATTCTAGTTCATGCATTACTATAAATTAACTGTCGGTAATAATTAAGATTATTTTCACTTAGTTTTGTGCTACCATATTTAATGGTGATAATTTATGATGTTAAGATTTAAATTAAAATTAATAAATAAAAAAATAAAAATTTAATTTACACAAATTGTTATATGAAAATTAAATTCATATTTTTTTATAAAGTACATAAATAATTACATAATTTTATCCAAACTCATGATATGGTTCTAAGGGTTTCATTGTGGTAATCAGCATGGGGCCTCCATAATTTATTATATCGAAAACATATTTATTGAAATTGACTTATCAAAGTAATAAGAGAAGCATTTTTCAAGAACATAAATAGTGAAAGTCATAAGTCGAAAAGTAAATATGCAGCTTTCCTTTTTCAACTTTACTAAAGTATGTTTGAAATTATTGCCAAATATTGACTGATTTGATTTACTATTGAAAGCAAATGGACATGTTCTGCATGTGAATTAACACTGTTCATAGGTATAGCCCGCATCCATAATTTAAGAATAAGTTAATATTTGATACACTTTGGATGTATAAATATTAATAGAATAAATCATGTCATTACAAATTTATTTATTTATTTTTGAGTAATTTTGTATAAATTATTGATCTCATATTTGTACTTCATTTACTTAATTATTGGTTATGATTTCAATTTTAGTTTTGCTTTAACTGTATTTGATTTGGAATTTCACTAACTTTACCTAAGAATTTTACTTAATTAATTTTTCTTATTTTTAGAAGATACTAGTATTTATTGTCATATATGTTGGTAGTAAAGACTTGTTTTTTTTTTTACAAAAATTTATTTTTAAATAACAATTATATATAAAAGACAATTAATGTTTAAATTATATATAATTGACACTTTATAATATTAATCTATGAATTATTCAATATTATTAGAATCCAGAAAAACAATTTCTTAATGGAAGTCATTTAATGCAATAAGAATTTTTATTTACAAATTGAATAAATCTTATTAACATGTATAAGAAAAAAATATTTTTAATGAAAGTCACTTGATGCAATTAAAATTCTTATACATTTTCATATTAGATAAATCCTACTAATATTAACAATAAAAAAATTTAAAATGATAATTTAAAAATATAATAAACAAATATGACTATTTTCATGAATTAAAATTTTTTCCAATATCCGTGCTTAATATATATATTATACACTTAATTAATTGCTATGAAAAAAAAATTTAGTCAATAACTTTATATTACTATAGATTTATTTCAATCTTAAAATAAATGAATGATAAAAGGATTAGCAAATAGACAAAATATTCAAAAAAAATTATCCTCTCAGAAGTACAATAAATTTTTTTTTCCTTTTAAACCACATGAATTTAGGGAAAAAGGAAAAATTATAAAAACAATATCCCTTCAATCACTTTTCCTTGACTGAACAAAAGAACAATTTTGCCACTTTATCTTTAATTTATTTTCTTGTAGCTAATGGACCAAGCAAAATCATTAGTCTTGGTCTTTGACCTGACAATTCTACTAATTCAGCAGGAAATTAAAGAGCTTTGGTACATTGCTTTTTCAATATAAAAGGAAGCTGGAAGCACATTCACCCATACTTCCATTGACCACTCAAGTTAACACTGATATGAGAAAGATCTCACATAATTAATATAGATTTTAGGCCATGGGATCTAACATATATATCAGTAATGAATAATGGTATGTGATAATAAATAATTATTTTTTATTAATAATTAGGCACTTCTATATTTTGCTTTTTATGTTATACTGTTATCAAATCAGCCATATCTAATAATAGTTTAATCCATCTGCAGTAACTAATAATTAGAATGAACTCCCAATTTCAGCAATTTCTTTTCCTATCAATTAATAAATTAATATAGACACAAAAAGGTGGAGAAGAAGAAGGTGGAGATAAGACATAAAATTATGGAATTAATATTAAATTATAAGTAAAGCAAAAACAATAAGTATGGGTTAATAATGAAGGTGATAATCATTACAACATAATATTTTCTGCATCACTGACTGGTGAACCTCGTACGTACTGAAAAATTAGCACAGAAGAGAGAGATTTGTAATGATTTGATGATCATGATGATGCTTTATTGATATTTATAATATAAAAATAAAGCAAGGATAATATTTTTATTGACAAACTACTTATAACAGTAGGCAATCTTAATTCCCAATTAATTACAAACCTTTTGCTTTTCTGTAAAAAAAAATTACAAAAGTGAAAGAAAATTAAGCTATGGGGATATTCTTCTCAAATTTGTTTTCAAACTTTTTTTTGGGACTGAATTGCTAATTGGATTTGGTCCAGAGTGTACTTCATGCAACTCTTTCCTTTTAAAATGATAGTCACCTCCAATAAATGGCTGCATTTAGAGGCAAGAAAAAAATAATTAAGTAATAGATTATACCTAGCAAAGGGTAAAAGAGATATGCAATTGCTTTTCCATTTTCCTTTAGGAAATGAATGAGATCATAAAACATGAACAGAAAAGCAAAAGGAAAATGAATAAAAAGAGATTGCAAAAATCAAAGGTTAATTCTTACTGTATCCTGATCATCAAGATCCATAGATGATTCTCTAGCTTTATCAATCCCAAAATCTAAAGCACAAAAACCATTTCAAATTAACTAGGTAATCAATATTGAGAGAGAGAGAGAGAGAGAGAGAGAGAGAGAGTACCATCAAGTTTTCTCATGGCCAAAGCTGAATGATGAAAGAGATGGGAGAGCAGCAAAATAAGAAGAAAATATGATAAGAAATTCATAGCTTTAATTGTCTCATGAGGAAGGGGAATAAAATATATGAGGGATAAGGATAGAGGGAACAGATAGATAATATGCATATGAAAGAAGAGAAAAGGGTTTTTTAATTTAATTAATGGAGGGGAACAGAAGAGGATCCAAGTAACATAGGTTTTGAGGAAAAATAACAAAAAGAGACTGTCTTTTAGCGGGTGAAGGGGTGGACAGGTTTGGTTAGTAAGACAGTGGATTGTTGGAGTTTAAGTTTGAGATTCTTACTAATTAGTACAAACCATCATCCACATAGGCCATAGCCCAATAGTGGATATCAAGATAAAAATGACCCTGCAAAGGATCGATGTTGCCATAAGCTTACTATCACTTCAGAGTTTAGAGTTAAATCTTCCAACACCCAATCACTACAATCCAATTGAGCCCAATTAGAATCTTCTGTAATAATTCCTTCCCATCATATTTTTTTTTTAAGGGGCAAAGTTATCTAGGTCGAATTTGTTAAGCCTAACTATGTTTGGAAACTATGAGTGGAAGGGAAAATTGGAAAGGCATGGAGCAGAGAAGAGTGGGACGGAGGGGTATGAGGATTTCATTGATTGTAAATAATGAAGATAGAGAAAAAAAAATATGAGCATGTTGTAAATTTTTTTTACTTAAATAGTGTTAGAAGAATTTACCAAAGGGATCGAAAGGGGTTGCACTCTGACAACTTCACAGCCCATAGAAGTACAAACTTCGATCGATCTACTAGTTAGCACCAATTTGCTTCCACTTTGAAATGTCCCACCTCCATGAGAGAAAATTGAACCCAAACATCATCTACGATGAAGACATATCTCTTTTTTTCCAAAATTTCCATTAATGCTTCTGCTTGTTCTAGTTCATGCTCAGGAAGCCGTTCATTCATAGCACTTGCAATATCCCTTTGTAATTTAACAATATTGAGTTCCTTTTGACACGGTGACCCAAATTACCTTATCAAACCTAGGCACCTTCAATAATTGATTGTTGATGTGCTTCATGATGGTTGTTTTTCCTATACCTCCCACCCCACAAATCCCAATCATTTCAACTACATCTCCCATCAAGTGTCCCCAAATTTTTTCTTTGATACTAATTTCACCTTCCAAATGCCCTATTTGCAACCTCACTCCAGAGGTTAAAGGTCTATCAAGTACTAGAGGTTCAGGATAACTTCCTCTTACATTGATTTTCTCTGCTTCTTTAATTTTTTGGGCTACATGTTTGGAGAGGGTTTCACGGGGAAAAAAAGAGCAAACTTGTATTTTTTTTTTCGAACAATTTGTACTTCATCATTGATCTTTTCAACATCTTGAAGCCATTTCTTCACTTCTTCCTTTACTACTTTCCCCCATTGAAGCTCCACTTTTATTCTCAAATCTATATCACTCTTCCGAATATTTAGAATATCTAGTGTGCTTTGAAGATTATTCATCCTTTCTTCAAGTTTTCTATGATGATCGATGTATATACACGCTATATTTCCCATGCACTTTTGCCATTTCAAAGATTGGCCCAACAAGCTCCATTGGTAAACTCCTAAAATGTAAAATCAATGTATCTTAAAACGTCTGACTGATCAGTTGATAAAACATTCTACAAAAAAAAAAGTAGGGTAAATGATATGCTTATTGTTTATGAGCATGAGGATCATTATTTGTGAAATTGACCGGGTATACGTGCCATGTCAATTATTTTGAAAAAACAATAATATGATTAATTAAATAGGTTAAACATGTAATAAATTATTTAAGTGAGTTAACTGAGTTTAACCTCTTAAGATATGAAATTATCATGTTATAAATATGTCAACATGTTTAAACTATAAAATATGATTATATAAAGTTCAAACACAATTTAACTCTATGTCGTATTTATGTCATGTTAACAGATTGCATCAACAAATTGCCAAGTCTATTCTCTACCAATGAGCATAAACTTAAGGTCGAATTATGAGTCCATTTGGTAATTAGTTGAAATTAAATTACTAACATTTTCTGTGAAAAACATTTTACTGAAAAATCTAATGCTTTTTATCATTAAATAAATTGAGAAAATATTTTATATTTTTGGATCACTTTGTAGAAAAAATTTCATCATGACCCATCTTCAAAAACATTTTCATCTTTAATAATTTTCTACTATGACACCATAAAAATATCAACATTAATCAATTACGCAAAACATCCATTTTTTTTTTAAAAAATTTTAAATATATCATATATTAATACTATTTAACATTTTTATTTATTCATTTCTCATCATATTATTATATTTATTAGTTTGTTAAGTGAATAAAATCATAAATTAGAAATTAAAATAATGAGAGATTTTCATGTGTGAAAATTTTATATTTTATATTATATAAAATTATTTCTTTAAATCGATCTTAATTGTTTTGTATTATATAAATTATTGTAGTATCTTAGTTAAAATAATTATACGTGATATATCCCTACGAAATGATTAAAAATAGTTAATGATGTTTCGTTGGGAAAAAGATTAATGCTGAATGCAAGAGATTACAAAAAAAAAAAAGAAATAATAGGATCCATCCCATGACGAGGGCAGCAGGAAAAAGAATGAAAAATGTCTTACAGCTTCTAACGATACACCATATTTTCCTCAATATGATTTTTTTTCTTAATCCGAAAATAGTTTTTTTTCAATTAGCAAACAAGGGAAAATGATTAAAAAAAATTTCAAAAAATGTTTTTAGTTTTACAAAATGAAACCTATGTAAAATCTCAATGCGGTAATTATTTTTATTTTTTCGTATTTATTTTTTATTATATTTCATTTCATAATTGAAAAATAATTTGTCTATAGAAAGTGATTAAAAAATTTTTCAAAAAAAGTTTTTATTTTTACCAAATGAAACCTACATCAAATCTTAATGCTCTAATTATTTTTATTTTTTATTTATTTTTTATTGTAGTTCGGTTCGTAACTGAAAAATAATTTGTTTATAGAAAATTTTTTTAGTGTAAAATATTTTATTGAAAAATATAATATCTTTTGTTATTTGGATTAATGATGAAAAATATTTTCTGTTATTTGAATTATCTTGTAGAAAATATTTTGGTCAAAAGACCTATCCAGTCTCTGTACTCTTCAATTTTGTTCAATTTAATCTTTATATTTAAAATCGAAGTAATTTAATCCCTTAATTTTAAAAATTACGTCAATTTAATCCTTTCCTCGAATGACATCCAATTTTATTGTTAAAGAATGATGTCATCAATGATATTATTGTTGACATCATTGATGACATGTCACATTTTGATGATGTGGCATTGAAATGATGACATGGCATGCCATATGCCAACGAGTGATGACGTGGTAATGCCACATGGTACAATGCAATGATGTGGCGTGTGTTGATGTAACACTGACATGTTGACATGTCAGTGCCACATGGCAAATTAAAAAAAATTTTAAAAAAATTTTTTTGCCACTTCATAGGGGTTAATTGAACAAAATATGTAGTGCAAGAACTAAATTGAACAAAATGAAGATACTGAAGGACTAAATTGAAAAAAAATTTTAAAAATACAAATCTTTAAGTAGATTATTGATATGCTTACTAATAAGCAAAATATTTAAATGTAAAAGCTCTATGGTATTAAAAAAATATATAAATATTTTATGATTTGATTATTTGATTCTAGAATATGTAAATTAATTTATCTTTTTTATAAAAATTAAGTTTAAATTCTCCTTTTATAAATTTTTTTTTAAAAAAATTTATACTTGAAGTCAAATTTAGATGAATAACTTGCATTACGTTAAAATAAAATAATATAAAATGACTAAATAAATTTTTTTTCTTCTATTTATAATAAAATAAAAATTTGAAATTTATTTAACTTAGTTTTTAACTTAAGTTAAAGTTAAATTAGCAAAATATGTTGATTTAGTTTTTTCTTTTAAAAAAAATGAAGAACAGAGATATGTAGTTGGCGATAATTATAAAATAATTCCTTATTCTAATTTGCTTAATTTGGACATGACAAACCTCCTATTACAACCATAGAATCTGAGCTCCACTCTTTGAATTATTTATTTATTTATTATGTTTTTATTTTGTTTAATATTTCAAGTTATATTTTTTAAGTTAAAATTTCTTAGATTAATGATTGCATTTATGGTTGATAAAATTAAATATTACTGTAAATATTTGTACCATTTTATTTTGTTAATAAATTTTTTATAGATCCAAATTAATAATTTAAATTTAAATTTAGCAGAATTTGATGTGATATTTGAATTTAAATAAAATCGTTTTATAAGAAATTTTGAGTAAATTTAAATAAAAGGTAAATTGGGTAAGATTTGAATAATTTAAAAAAAATGTGTATTTGTAAATTGTGAAAGTTGCAACTAAACAACATATTTTATTAATTTGAGTAAATTTAAATAAAAGGTAAATTGGGTAAGAGTTGAATAATTTCAAAAGAATGTATATTTGAGTACAAGGACTAAATTGAATAAAATTGAAGAGTACAAAGACTGGATAGGTCTTTTGACCAAAATATTTTCCACCATGAACCATCTTCAAAAAATTTTCCATTTTCAATAATTTTCTAACATAACTATAAAAATATCAGTATTTATCAACTTTGCAAAATATCCATAATATTTTTTTCAACATTAAAAATATTACAAATAAATAATATTTAATACTCTTTATTTATTTATTTCTTATCATATTGTTATACTCGTTATTTTGTTAAGTGAATAAATCATAAATTGAAAATTAAAAAAAATGAGAGATTTTCATATGTGAAAAACTTATTTCCTATTTTATATAAAATTTTTTCTTTAATTGAGCTTAATTATTTTGTATTAAAGATTGTAATATCTTAATAAAAATAATTATAGAGGTATGATCCATATGAAATAGAGTTTATACAATACAAGGATAGGCTTTATTAAATATGTTAGTTCTTTAGCTTCAAGTACTCCTACCAAGTAATGAAATTGGTGGAAAGCTTCGAGCAAGTAATATTATATAGAACAATAATGGCAATCAATGTATATAGTTGACCATGTGAGTAATTGAATCAGCAAATGCAGAGGGTGCCAAAAGACCATGGTAAATCAAACTTCACCTTTAATCAACAAATTACAATTAGATTAAAGTACTACAATAATAAACATAAAAGAAATTTCCACAACATAACACATCGAATAAATTAGAATATCCAAAATAACATCACGGGTTTAGCTTATCCTTGGTCATGAGTGATTGCCATTGTCTATCACTTTGTTGCAGGCCGAAGACTTTGATTGCCTACCGTCAGCTTCTGAATAACAAGACATTCTACAGTAGAAGAAAACCCAAGAGAATGTACCATTAGAGACAATGATATGGCATAATTCTGATCAATTTTTGTTACTTGAGAGCCAGAGAGCAAAAATATGTAGACTTACTAGTAGAAAAGAGGAGTTTTGTTAAACATCTTGCCCACTTCAATTGTCCTTGTATTAGTACTGCAAGAAGGCCCGAAGGATAGTCTTTGCATTTGGATGATCCCACTCCACTTCATCCCATTCTTCTGAGTTTATCTCAATTCTTCGAAGAGAAAGAGGAGGCGATAGTTGGCCATTGACAAGATCCCAAGTGGTGCAATAGATGTGGGCAGAGCGGCTGCTTCAGCTTTCACAAGCATCGACAAGCTATCTAATTCTGAAAGAAGTAAGTTCTCGAGGTTGCCAAGTGAGCTGCATGATGAAGGAAATACTGATAAGTCCAACACACACTCTACCCCTTTACAGTCTATAAGATCACATACCCTCAACTGTGTTGCTTTGTGGAAGAAGGAAATTTCGCTTAAGCTTCTCACATCGTGGCATTTAGAAATCCTTATACACCTAAGGTCATTTGGGAGCAATATTTGATCTTCTCCTCCTATCTTGCATCCACATAATATCACATCTTTTACAAAAGATTCTGACCATAAATCCTTTTCCTGTGATCCCACAAAAAGCTTGTAAAAAGTAGGCCTTTCGCCTTTTATAGACTTGATATACGTATTAAAATCTTGCAGTTCATGAAACCTTCCAACAAAAGTCTCTAGTTTCATCAATGCTGCTGCCTCCTTCCCTTTTATCTTTAATGTTCTCGATTGCCAAGAAACTACCAAGAATTGAAGACGAGAGAGCCTAGGTAGTATTCCTGTTGGTATCTCCTTTAGCCTAGAGGAAAATAAGTCAAGATATCTGAGGTTTACCAACATTTCCATACCATCAGGAATCTCCTCTATACTTGTAAAATGAAGGTCCAATTTTTTCAATGCCCTAAGCTTTGCTAGTGAAGGCTTAACTTTTTGCACCCAACAAGTATTAATGAGGTAAGATTTTCCAAGTTGGATATGGTGTTAGGTAAATACTCAACATTAGTATAAGAAAGATCAAGAACTTTAAGTTCATGCATGTTCTCAAAGAATGATTCTGGAATCCTCCTTGAGAAATCATTCCTCTTCAACAATAAGGTTGAGAGAATCTGACATTTTGGTGAGATATCAGGAGAGATTTCTGATATGGAATTACACATCAAGGAAACTTTCTCAAGACCTTCTTTCCATTCATGCTGACCTGGGAGCTCCCTCAACTGCATACCCGCTTTTACCATAAAGCGAGTGCCATTTTTACTTTTGATATACACTGCCATATCTCTCAAGACATCATGGATCTTGACAGTATTTCCATCATCAACCCTCTCTATCAGGCAATTATTTTCAAGCTTGTTTAGTATAGTATGACCCCTATCATGCATTGCTTGTCTGGTTCCTAATTCATCAATGAATCCCTCGTCGATCCAGTATTCTATCAACTCCTTCCTTGAAATTTTCCAATCTTCAGGATACAAAGAGCAATATAGGAAACAGTTTTGGATTTTTGAATCCTGTAAATGATCATAACTAAATTTCAATCGCTCAAATACTTCAATATCTGTACCTTTCACACTTTTAACACATTTACGTAATTCCTCTAGTGCATTCCTCCACTCACGAATGTCGGATACTCCCTTCATACTCCGGGCTATTGTGACAATAGAAAGGGGTAAGCCAGCACACTCATCAACAACATGGCTTGCAATTTCTCCCAAAGGTGGATCTTGCAGAATACTGCGTTCCGAGTTATCTAGGAATAAGTTCAGGGAGTCCTCTTTGGAAAGTGGTTGCACTTTGATTACCTTACAACCCATATTCATACACACATCAATTGATCTGCTAGTTAAGACTAGTTTGCTCCCGTTTCGTGTTGGTTGAGGAATACCAACCTCCACCAAAGAAAACCAGTTCCAAACATCATCTAAAATCAACACAAATTTCTTCTTTCCCAAAATATCCGTCAATGCTGCTGCACACTTCACTTGATCCTCAGGTTCTGGAAGATTTTCCTTCATGGCATCTGCAATGTTTTTTGGTAACTTAACAATATTAAGTTCTCTTGAAACAGTGATCCATATCACTTTATCGAACTCAGACTCCTCCAATAGCTGATTGTTGATATGCTTCATGATGGTAGTTTTCCCTATTCCTCCCATTCCACAAACTCCGATCATTCCAACCTTATCATCCATCAAGTAATTCAAAATTTCTTCTTTTGCAGTCGTTTCACCTTTTAAAGCCATTGTCCCCAATGTCACCCCAGCTGGTGAAGGCTTATCAATTACTAGAACTTCATGGAAATTGCATTGACAAAGTTTCTTTGTTTCTTCAAGTTTTTGGCAGACAAGTTTGCTTAACTGGGGACGTGAGAAGCATGACACAGCCTGCGCCTTTTGTTCTAACATTTGTATTTCATCATTGATCCTTTGTACATCTTCAAGCCACTTCTCCACTCCCTTCTTTGCCTCTTTCTGCCATCCTATCTGTGCTTCTACAGTTGATTCCATATCGCTCTTTCGACAATTTAGATCTTCTAATTCTCTTTTGAGATCATTCATCCTTTCTTCAAGTTTCTTGCAATGATCAATGTAGGTACAAATTGGAGCCACCAAGAGCTTGACCGTCTCAAGAATTAGCCCTAAAAGCTCCATAAACCTATAATGTAACACCACATTAGTAAAATTCTGAATATATACATATATTTATTTTCTTAATTAAAGCTTAAATGTTTGGGAGATATATATATATATATATATATATATACAAAATAATTACAAACAATTTAAACGCCAAAGTAAACCAAGTTCAACCGTGTAATCAATCAATATCTATATGTATATCTACACTATATATAAATGTAAGAGCCTAATTTCAATTATAAATTTATCTATTAGCAAGTAACAACTGAAACAATTAAGTAACTGTGTGCCTACATTGTAATTGAACTAGAACTTTCATAACCACAATTAATTGAACTAATCTGTCTGCGTTTTAAAATTCAAACAAATAATTATGCAAACTCCTAAAATATTAGAATTTTAAAGATCAAATAATGAAAATATCGATAATTAAGATGAATACTAATGAGAATACAAAAATAAAATAAAATGGAGAAAGGGCATCAAAGTTGCAAAATAACAACTGGAAATAAAGAATCATTTATAGCAAAAGGTGTTCATGGAAACTGATATGAAATAATCATACCTGGCCTGGCAGAAGAAGAATGTTACTACCACAAATTGTCTATATCAGATAGATGAGGAAGGTCAGAGCCACAGTAAACTGTCACGAGGAAAGTGTCTCTATCCCACATCGGACAGGAATGGGAGGTCCTGAGTTTATAAGTCCTGGACTCTTTATAAGCGGGTGTGCTGCACACCCCCATAAACGCGTTTATGGGGGAGAGAGTAATGATCCCGTGGCAAAACATCCTTGTTACCTTGCAAATGAATGATATTTTCTTGGGAAAAATCTGATATAATAAAGAAAACAGAAAAAAAAATTATAACTCCAAAACCCAAAGATTGTTTAACAGAGAGAAATTCAAAGGAGAATAAAGCAAAGGTAAATACCTGGCCTGGTAGGATGTTACTTCAAATTGTTTGATGTTCTTAGGAAAAAAAAAGGCAGCAGGAAGTAGTGCTATCCAATTCTTTGTTACAAAGTTATGAAATATGGAGCAAAAGGACCAAACGAAGGAAAATTAACAAGAACCAACATAGAATATTGGGGCTATGTCCTTGGGGAACACTTGAAGATCTAAGGAAACAAGATTCAAAGTAGATGCTTGCCTCAAGTTAAAGAAAAGTTCAATGGCTGTCTCAGAGGAATGAAGGTAAGAACATTCCAAAGGTCACATTACATCAATTAGAAATTAATGTGCTTATTTTGAATGTCAACCACTCTTCAAACAAATAACCAATACACAACATTTATATTCCTGATATGTAAATGCTTCTACATGTAAAGGATGTGATGTTTTCTTTTTAAAAACATAGTACCAAAAGTTAACACTTTAAAAATATCATTTAACTATGGCATTATCAGTTTATCAATATATCATCACAACTAGTTTTCTGGCTCTTGGCATGTTTATATATATATATATATATATAAGCAATATTAATTCTAAATCGAGTTAAATTTAGGTCAGTTTTGATAGTAATTTGTATTATATTAAATTTAAATATTTTTAATTATCATTAAATTTAATTTTGAAATGAGAAAGAAACAAAACTCTATGCTCAAATTAAGTGTAATACCCATTAAAATTTTTATACTTATTTAATATTGCCTTTCTGTTTATAATTCTATGTGAAATTTTGTTACAATATATATTTTTAAAATTCTTATATTCTTATATTTAAAAAAAATCGGCCCATCTTGTCGTAATTGCAAGTAAGGCCAATGGGGCTTATTAGTGAATAAAATATGAAAAAAAAAAGGATTATTTTTGCGAATGAAGGTTGATTATTTGTTTATACTAGTTCTATGTCTGTTTAAGAGAATTGAGAGGAACAAACCCTAGGAGAGAAAAGAAAAGGTAGAGAGAAAGGGCAAATTCCTTCAAGAAAATATTAATTAAGGTAAGATCGATTATACTTTAAATTTATGAAATTTTTGTGTTTTGCATAATTTTATACAAAAGTCATATATTTATTTCAAGTTTATTTAACTTTATGCTACTGATGTCATTGTGGTGATTTTTCAACGACATGTTAGGTATCAATGAAAAGGTCTTAAATAGACTTTCCTAATAGTTTTTGTGGTACTTTATTTTATTGAATAGTTAAAGATTTATTAATTTTTTAAATTAGTTGAAAACTTTTTTTTTATAATTCTAAATATCATCATGATAATTTCAAATTTTTGATTTATAAAACTTGTAAATTTTATAATCTTTTCGACTGAAATAAATTTGTATGTTACAATATGACACAAATACGTCAAGTTGGTCTTGAGTTCATCACTAAAATCAACTGGGGGACGGAGCCGTAGGCCAAATGGCCAACAAGAATCTAGAATTTCATAAATTAGAAAATTTTGTTTTAACTATTCCAATATTTTATCAATTTTACTATAATATTTCATAAGTTTTAGTTATATAAATTTTATTGAATTTTTACATAAATAATTATAAAATTATTGTTCATGTTGTAGATTTGATAAAATTTATAAATATGATATATACCTGAAATTAATATTAGATTTTCATTACAAATTATATTGTTATTGATTTTATGATTTAAACTTTACTTTTCAATTTTTACATAATTTTTGAATATTTTCTTTTATAAAATGAAAATCTCTTTTATAAAAGAAAATCTCTTCTATTATTTTAAAATGACTTGACTAGGTGAAAAGTATGCTATATATGGTGTATTAACCTATATAATTTATAGTTTATAGTGCATAACTATATACTATGTATAGTGTATTAATACTTATTACATATAACTAACACATTGCTATAACTGTATAGTATATATGTATATAATAGCATATAATAGTCTATTGTTATTAACTAATTAATATATTAACAAGTATATATTATAATATAATGATATAGTGATATTAACTCATTAAGTCATTAATGTATTAATATATTAATATATAGTATATTAACAAATTACTATGTTAAATTATTAATATAAGTTATACTGCTATGATATACTAATATTAATAATTTAATATAAGCTATTATATTAATATAGGTTACACTATATTACTATAGTCTATAGAATATAGAGTATATATTGTATATCAATAAATATACACTATATATTATAAGGTATAACTACTCTATAACATATTAACTATGTTAATATAATAAATTATATTATATAGTTCGATGTTATTATTATTTTTTAAAATAAAAAATCGAATGGATTTGAATCAATTTTGAAGGATTTAATTAAAGACTTTTTGAATAAAAAGTTAAATAGCAGAATTTTATTAACTCTTACTAACTGTAATTAATACTACATGCCAAATTAACCAATCATTTCTTTGGCCATTGCAATAACACATTCATGTTTCATTGTAATTATTAAATTTTGATTTACTTTCATTTATAAATTTTTGTCCAATCCCAATTATAATGTCAAAATGAACTTAATTAAATCTTAATTTTACAGTTAAAGATTAAAAATAAAATTTGAAGTAATAATAATAGTTATATTGCGGGCAATAATAATAGTTATAATTAAAAATAAAAATAAATTTTCCATGTATGACGACAGCAAGTCACAACAAAGTAGAACCCATTGATTGTAAACCTTGGAATTTATAATTCGAGCTTATTTAACCAAAACTATTGTCTCCTACAGTTGACATTCCCACACCCGAACCCACCAAATTCCTAAACCCCCTCGCCACCCCCAACCTCCATTATAGAACAACCGGTACGGCAGAACAACTGTCTGCCTTTACTTTTGTTGCTTTATAAAGGGGCTGAATAATTTTCTGGGTTTTTCTTTGTTCAACGAAAAGGAAAAACCATGGGTGAGAATAATCAGATGATAGAAGAAAAAGATTACATTCTTTTAAAGGATTTCAAAGTGGAAATCGAAGTTGAAGAAGGAAAGGGTTTTATTCTCTGTTTCTGGGTTTATATGTTCAACCCCAATGCATTCCCGGCCACCATTCTTAAACAGGTCTAAAAACTACTGCTCCTTTTTCACTCGAAATTTTACTTCTTTGGGTGAGGAAAATTACCCATTTCTCATTTATTGGCTTTTTAAAAAAATGATTTTATGAGTCTTATTAAAAGAAATTATTGGTTTCTTGAGCTGATTAGTAAGCAGGGGTTAAAGCTGCTTCTTTTGTCTTTCTTGGTTTCTCTTTTCACTCAAAATTTTGCTTTTTCGGTTGTCAGGAAGAATACTTGTTTCTCATTTAATGTTCTTTTTAATGATTTTATGAGTGTTTTTGTGTATGAGAGAAGTTTTAAAAACTGCCATTATCCTTTCACTTTCTGTGGTTCAAAGAAATTAGAAACCTTTGCCTTTTCCTTTTTGGTATCAAAATGCAGTTTTTTGTTTCTTTTGTCGCTTTGATTCTCTTGTTACCATCTAACAAAGCAAAAATCATCATCCTATTTATTGTTTTGATGGGTATTTTAATTTGTATTTGTCATGTATGTTTACAGGAGTCTTTTTGTTTCCATTCTTCTAATACGTTGAACTCTTTTCTGTTTATAGGTGTACTCAGAGACTAACTGTAGTGCTCCTTTACTTGTTCTTAACGAAAAGACTTTGATGCTTTTGCCATTGACTTGCTTACACAATGAAGTCCCTGATCCTGGAAATGCTGCTTTGTCAACAGAAGTTCTGAAAGTGTCTACACAGATTGAATATCCTCAGTACAAATGGATACATGTTGCATACGAGGTATGCGTTTAACATCTGAGGGAACTATTAATATAAGGACATGATTAGTTTTGAGAGTTGCATCTTGATTGATAGTCTTTTTTGTTTCTTTGATAACTAGTCATAACATTTTGGATTGTTTGAGATAGTTTTGGAAAGGAGAGAACAGAATGGACTGGTTTTGATTTGGTATGTTTGTTTGCCTTGATTTCTAGAGGTGCAGTTCATGTGGACAGTAGGCTCTTTACATTTTCATCTGCCTGGCTTTTTGTTTTGTGCATAACATGAAACATTTGATATGGATTGATATTGAAAAATAATGAATTAAGCTAGTAGAAGCATTTCTATGTAAATTCTATAAATACAGGGACAGATCCAAAACATTACATGGATTTGTGGAGTAAATGAAATGAGCAAAGATGAAGCAGGCAAGTATGTATACAAAATTTGAGGTTATGTGGAATACACCAATCTATGGCCAAGGTGTAAGAGAAAAATGAAGAGGGTAAAATAAAGGAAAAATGAAATTAAAACATCAGGTTGATGGAGTAAAAGCTTTTGAGGTAAAAGTTCTCAGTTTGGATAACTCCACTGTTTCTTTTCCTTCTTTTCACTTCAAAATGGAGAAATTACACTTACCTTTGTGCCTCAGGTTTCATTGAGGCATTATTTCAATTGTGCTTGATGGAGGAATACTTATTTGGTTGCTCCTGGCTGTCATTATGTATGTCAACTTTTTTTTTTCTTGTCAGGTTTCTGCCGATTTTTTGCGGCTTCACATTAATGCGGAGATTGCAGGAGAGCTGCAGCTCTCTTCCTTGTTGAACAAAGGTTCCATGCAAAATGGCTTGAGGAAGACAACGGTAGTTGGTATTACTGGTGGTAATGATTTTCAGGGTTATATCCATGATGCAAAAGTCTTGCCTTCAACTTTGTCTATAAAGGATCAGTATGTTCAGGTGCATTTTACTTGTAGTTCTCATGTTTCCTTGACAGTTTCTCACAGCTTGTAATTTTTCCTCAAGATTTAGAACACTAATATGAAAAACTGATGCCAGAACCCACCTCTACAATTGTCCATTGATGAATCATCTGCCTCTGATATTGAAGAAGACAATGGCTTTTGGAATATCGTTGGTGGCAAGGTAGACACCAGAGGGCTCCAAGCTTTTTTGCTATAAGTTTTATACTTAAATGAAAACAGTTACACTTTTCTTTTGTGGTCTTGTTATTAGGTTATTTTTACAGTTTACATTTATTTATGGATATGATTCTATTATCAATGCTAATGTTATTTTGTGTCTACTATTCTAATAGTACCAATAGAATCCCTTTTGTCTTTGGATGCGGCCATTCAATGTTCCTTCTTGGTATTTCAAGTGTCATGGTTAACAATTATTGAGGCTAAGTACCAATTACTACCTAATTATGTATGCTCTTGCTCATCTAAGCAAAGCTTTTACATCACTTACGGAGGAAACATGATTGATCATTTATGTAACGCCAGTAGTGTTCTTTTTAAACTTCTCATGGATAACTTTCTTATTTCTTACACAAGGGCACCGTAGTTGTGGTGAAAATTTTCTGTAAACAATTTCTTACCCCAGCTTTATATTCTGGTCCTTCGGGTGCTTCTGTTTCAACAATAATTTGTTATTATTTTTATTCATCTGAAAGTGATATCTTCAGAAACATATTTGTTTACTTGTATGCTATATATATGGGCTTTTTTTCCAACTTTATATTATTTTCTATTGGAAGAGACACATAAATTGGCTATCGAATTCAAAAATGTATCCTTATATTGATGTTGGATTGTAAAATAATAAATTGATAGCTTATCAAGTTGAACACCATTGTGCTTCAGATTAACCATGAATGTTGGGTAGGTGTTGGTATGGATCTTTGCTTTTATGTTGAAACCTCCTGGAACCAGAAAGTTATAAAGACCTTTAAAGTCAAAGGAAAAAGGATATTCCTATGTTGGTATCTAAACATGGTTGATATTATAGCTTTTATCCTTGGCCTTTACTTTACGGATTGTCAAGCATTTGATTGTGGTAATATGGCTGCTCATTGCGTAGAATACAATACAGTTCGCAACCATAGGATATTGATTCCCAAATGATATAAGGGTACTGCTTAGGTTTCTTCTAATATTTACCCTTCCACAGGCATCTTGTCGCAGGATTTTTTCCTTGGATGTTGTTTTATTAAATGCCTTTGGCCAGCCAGTAAACAAGGAACTAGAGGTAATTTACGCTTTACATTTTATTTTGCAGCACTGGCTTCAACTTTGGTACCTAATTTTTTGCATTTCTTGTTGTAAAGGTTGTTGCATCACTTTTGTATGCTCATAATCGATCACCTGTAGAGAAGACAAATGACGAAGAAGCTCCTCTTCTCGCTAGCTATGATGGAATTGAATTTTCCTCTTCTGATAGACCTAGTAAACTGTTGAATGGGAGGGCATCCTTTAAGTTGAAGATCTCCAAGGTGATATTAGATATCAATATAGCTTGTGGAATATTTAGTCTGGTATATGCTTCTAGATATCTGTGGAAAATTCTATGTGGAACTTGCTTCTGATGCATGAGAAAATAATTCATAGTTATGATTCTCATTGAGGTCTCTATGGCAGAAAATAATGTCTTTTGCTGATGTGAACCATCCAATAGTACAGTTACAGCTAAACTATTTTCTTCATAAAGTGTATATTTCATGTAACTTGATTGCCTAATTGAAATTAAGTTTTGCTTAAATTTCCAATCTTTCCAATGGTAGGCTCACAAGCAAACAATTTAAAAAGTTCATTTATCTTCACACCAGACTGAAACAGTTTGTTGTGATAAGGCTCACAAGCTTAGGCTCGGTTCAATCAGTTCAAGCATAAGCTTGAAATTAAATGTATTTGTACCATATTAAAGGGATAAATTAATGCTTTTGGAGAAAAATAATTCAAATATCTTGGTTAGAATTGTACTATGGTTTAGTGATGCTATATTTCTATTTATTCAAATTAAAGACATTCACCTAATTCGTATGAGAAATATAATAAGTACTTATTCATGATTTATTCTTTCTAGTTTTGTTTTTACATAATGATTTTTTTAAAGGCTAATAATTATTATTCACAAGAAAAGTTAGTTTTACATGAGCTTAGAAGCTTGATAATTGGAAAATAAAGCTCAAACTCATAAATGGTACCAAAGGAATGCCTGGCTTGAGCTTGAATAAAACTTTAACCAGCAAATCTTGAGCACAGAGATAATGAGCTTGGCTATTACAGCCTCAGGCAGAATTAACAATAATGCAACAGGGTATAATTTTGATCTAGAATTTAATTTTATTATCATATTTGTTTATTTACTTATCAATTCATCTTGAATTCCTAAATGACCTGATTCTGATGTTATCTCAGCTCTCATCCAAGAGTGAGAATAGGCAGTTCTGCATTAAATTTGGGATATCAAAGTTCGAGGGTTATCATTTCCTTGAGGACTTCTCTCCTTCAATTCGTTGTGTCTCTCGCAATCGTACTCCAAGGACATCTACTGGTATTTGGAAAAAAACCACTGCTGTCCATCCGCTCAATGGATCTCAATCATTTGGCTTAGATGATGCTTCTTTGGAACTTAAGCACAATACTGTACATGAAGCAAAACTCAGTCCAACATCAAAGCGGGTTAGATCAGGAGAAGCCAAGATTTCTACGATAGACCAACTTGGTGAAGAATGCAACTCTCTTGCCTGGACTGCCAATCAGGTATTGAGTAAGATTTTTATGCTTGTCATTTTCCCATGACATCATCATCATGTTATGTCTTAATAGACCATAAATACAAGTGGAGTTTAAATCACTTTTCAACTATATAAGGTTTCTGTATCGGTTGTTCTGCCACAATTTGATTTGGCATTAACGTAGAACTTGCTGCATGACCTATCTGTAAACTTTAGGTGTGCTTTATTTGATAGTACGACACACCACTGTGTCAAGTACTCCAGCACATTTAAACCTTTGTCAATGTAATAGGAGAATATTTGGCCCTCCAATTTTTGGGGTGATTATTGAAATAGAAGCAGTGCTTTCGGGCCAATTTTGTAGTGAAAACTGTTATGTTCTTAGTTTCAATGTGGGATAAGTGAGGTGACATCAAAATAAATGTCCATGTTCTACCAATGGAAAATATTTCCAGCCTCCATGTTTTATCGGTGGGGCATGTGGACACAAATTATGGTTTCAATATTATATCATTTGGTCAGTTTTTTCTGTATTCAACTTACTGCATAGCGCATAAACCTTAAGGACAACTTGGCAGCAACGACCTGTAATATTCCTTGTTTTGAGAGTGAAACAATTTAAAAGTTAGTTCTGTATCACACATGCTATGCATGGTATATAATTTTTCTGTTCTAGTAGAGGATATAATTAAAACAGAGAAAGCTGTGCTACTGAAGCCACATGTACAGAGTAGGTTTGCCCAGACGTTAGGATTTAAATTTAATTCATGGTAAAGTCTCCTCTTTATCCCCATTTAAGAAATTTTCTTTTCTTAGAATATGTATTATGTTTTTAGATGTTTTTTTTAAAGCTAAGAGCACAGGAGGATAAGAAAGCTGCAAAAAACTAAAACTTTTTATGGAATTTGATGAGCCATAAATTTAGGATGATAGTTGTTAAGAAAGATATTGTACTGATGATGACAATGATGATGAAAACAATTATTGTTGATTAATATGATAATTTTGTGATAATATTTAATGATATACTCTGTTGATAATTTGTTGTTTTGAACCCTTTGTGCCAATGGCCAGAAGAAAAAATAAAAAACCAAACGTCATCACCTGCCTCATCCTTAGAGCCTTGCTCAACTTGTCAATAACTGTTCCTTTCTTTCAATTGAATATATATAATGATCTCTATGCACTAGTGACAATTGCATCACCATTTTCAATCAGGTTGAGAATGGTTATGGTTCAAGTATGGAGGCGAGACCTGAGAATTTTGAAGAAGTGGACAATTCCCTGTCTGATTCAGAGAGCACTGGGGCCAGAGCTTCAGCTTTAAAGAGTGTGTCAAGTACGGCACATTCAGTTTCAGATTTAACAATTTTTAGGTACTGCTTGGGAGGCTTGACCGATAGGTCTCTTTTGCTGAAGGAAATTGCAACTAATGCTTCAGATGAAGAAATTTCAGGATTTGCAAGCCAAGTTTCCCTGTACTCGGGATGTTCTCATCATAGGTAATCTACAATGCTTTGCTTCTTTCAGAACTTATTGTGGTGCTCATTATATTCTTGTTGGGTTATAGCCAAGAATGTAATAGTACCCATGATGATATCTCTTCATCGCTATTGACATAGTAGACAGATTTTATTTCATATCAGTTTCATGGGGTTGTTTGTCCAACTCTTTGATTGACCTTACTTTGTACTTGTTGCAAAATGCAATGATGTTATTGTTCTAACACTTTTCCACAGACTACATTCTACCAAGTTGAAAGCCTTGTTCTTCTCCGAATGTTGGCCCTTGGCTTTGTTTCTGATCACAAGCAGATCCATAGCTTTGGGCCCATTTTGGGATAAAAATTGGACGAAGCAAGTGCTGCTACTAACCCATAGCCTGTGAATCCTGGGAAAATATACAATAATGTCAATTATTCTTGGGATGTATATCAAGTATTATCTAATTTTTCTGTTCCTTTTACTGATGAAAGAAAGTTGTTGCCTGCTCCTTAGGCATCAAATAAAAATCACAAAGAGATTGATAGAGGAGGGAACAAAAGCCTGGAATATGTTATCACAAAACAACATCCAAGTTCAATGGGAAAGTGCAGTTTTCGAAATTGAAGAGCAATTCATGAAGATTGCTCGCTGCAGTACTAGATCTCTTACCCAACAGGTCTCTCTCTCTCTCTCTCTCTCTATATATATATATATATAGGTCCACAATATGATTGGTCTCTCTTTTGCTTCTTCTTGGGGTGGGGGCGAGTCCTAAAGATTGATATGTTCCTAGGTATAGCTCTTTTCCTCAATAGTAGCTACATCATTGATGGATAGTCATGGTAAATGAAAATCATTTTTCTGCAGCTTTAAAATGGTTGCATATTTATTTTTTTGGTACAAATATATAGTCACCTCTTATGATAGTTATTCATGCACTCTGTACTTAATGTTGCTTTAATGGTAAATGTTGCTATTAGTATGTGCATTCTATGATTTACATTTATTATACATACTCTCCTTCCCTATATTAGCTTTTTCTCTTCATCTACCTATTAGAATCTAAGGATTTTGAGCCCCCTGTCTCTTACTGTATGGTGCCCTTCCCTACATTAGCTTTTTCTCTTCATCTACCTATTTTCAAGTGTGTTAGCATCAGGTTCTTATAGCATAGGCCTGTTTTTGTCTTTTTTTTTTCCATACGGAGAGTGAAAAGTATCCTAATCCAAAAGATTAAACTTGAACTCATCACTCACACCTGTGTAAGACATCCTTCAAAGTTTTTACCTTCTTATTGATAGTTGTTAAATGGTGGTATTGCAGAAGTTCTCTTTCTAAAGTACTCTAAATAAAGTGTAAGGTGCTTTTTGGTAAAACTGCAAAATTTAGCCCAAAAAATTTAAGCCTTTAATTTTATTCCTAATTCTTAGTACTGAATTTAGCAAGCACAAACTGTTCAATGATTTTCAGAGTATAAGAACTGAATTAGTTAAACTACTTGATGATAACAAAGACAAAAACTTTGAAAACCATTCGATTTCCAACTTTATTTTATAATATTTTAAACTTTATTCTATAACATACAAAACAGGAGCTATAATGATAAGGTAGTAAATTGAATAATGGTAAGGGTAATGTGATCTATGAGTGGTATTCTTAAAGATGCATCTAATTAAATATGTTCTACATTGAGAAATGAGGATGTGCCCCTTTACTGAATGCTTTCAATGTCATTGCCTGACCTCTTATATGTGTAATAGAAAATGCTATAAGGTAAATCATTTAAATGTTCCGCCAAAATTTTAATACTGTAGGCAGTTAACAAATAGAACCTGTGTTTTTTTCCTTCTAAAGGTGCGGAGTAACAAATGGGGCCAAAGTGGTTCTTTTTGACAGTAATCTTACCAGTGCTGCATATCACAGCATTGTGCTTTATTGTTCTCAAGGCATGTTGCTTCCCTTTTCTCTTTGGTTGACTTAAATTTAGTAAAGAATGGAATGACAGGGTACTTGCATATGTGAGAATATTAATGATTTTTAAAATATATTGACCTTTCATTTCTTTGGATTTATAGATAATATATAAAAAGTTGAAAGCAAGATAAAAGGATTAAATGAAGATAAAGTGAGAAATAATTTATGGTCTTTTTTCCTGAGGGATGTTACCCTAAGCCTGTAACCAAGTTTTCATAGTGCTTTGCATATAGAAGAAAAGAAAAAAGAAAAGGAACTTTCATAGTGCTTAATCAGGCAACTGATAGTGTTGTCTCAAGGGAACCCTAGTCTTAGTTTTGCTGAGTGGCTTTAGAGTTTAGACCAGTTTTAGTTGGAGGACAAGGGTATCGGTATCCAACACAGCAAGTTTTGGCATTGAAGCTTATTCTAGTAGGTCTTAATGATCTTGGGCTGTCATTAGGGTTGGCAATGGATGTTGTTTTCTGGGTATCCAAACTGATCTAAGCCAGTTATGTAGGATTCTGGTAGCAAGATTACTACCCGTTGTGAGTTCGAGTGGTGACCTTACGCAACAGGTTATCAGCACCCAATTACTAATAGTTTTAGTTGTAATATGCTATTTTTATTTTTAAATTACTTATAATTAATGGCTACATGCAAAAAATTCTATTTGTTTAATGATAATTTATACTTCTAGTTACTTGACTCAATTTTCATCTATGAAATAAATTAAATCTGTTTTGAGGTTAGGTTAGGTTGGCGTTTTTGATCCAGTGCCCATCTCATTTCTGACTAATATAGGTGGTTTCAAGTATTTAAAAATATTGAACATCCGTCTGGTAAGGTTTGAGCATCATGTATTATATTTTAATCAGGTTACTGCAGGACTTTGATGCCACTGTTCTTATTCAACTTCAGGTTTAGGTAATTCAAAATTAGTGGGTATTCTACCAACTGTTGTCCCTATTCATGTTTCATGGAGAAATTACTTCCCATAGTTATGGATGCCATATGGCTTGTATGAATAAATAGTAATATTTTCTTTTCTAAGAAAATCATTGTGAAAATGTTACAGTTGGACTACAATTTATTGAGCTAACAATTGTTTCAGGACTTTGAGCTTCTGAGGAAAATTGCCGGATGCCGAGATTTCATGGCCCAAGAAAACTTTGAGAAGATGTGGTGTTGGTTATACCCTGTCGCTTTTACATTATCAAGTGACTGGATAAATGCACTGTGGAATTCTACATCACCGAAGTGGATAGAAGGATTTATAACGAAGGAAGAAGCAGAACTCTCACTTCAAGGTCCAAGAGGTCTGCAGGAGCCTGGGACATTTATGCTTAGGTTTCCTACTTCAAGGAGTTGGCCCCACCCAGATGCTGGTAGCTTAATTGTGACATATGTTGGCAGTGATTACACTCTTCACCACAGACTGCTTTCCCTTGATAATGTGTACAGGTATATACTGTACTTCCTCCTTTTCTTTTCTTTATGAAACTTCATTATATAGTCCTAATGTGAACTATCACTAAGAATATTCTCTTATTTGTTTACATATGTTAGAGGTGTAAGCACTAAACTATGTATTTAAATGGGGAAAGGAGAAAGCATTTATGTGAATTATTTATATCTGAATCCTTAAGAATTTCTTGGCAACACTGCACATGATGGAGTTTTGTCCAAGAATAGAGGAAAGGAACAACAGAATTAGGAATAGTCAAAATGTGCTCAGGTTAAATTGTGCATGTTCGGTTGTTGGATGAGTTTTCTTCACCAAAGTCTTGTGTCCTGATAGTATACCTAGAGAAGAACTTACCATTTTTTAAAATTGGTTGACAATCTTTAATTGATGTAAGACATGGTGCACAAGTTTCTGTTTTGTGAGGGGATGCTTGATCATCTATTGAATATGAAAGTAGGAGATTCTTGAAAACATGAAGTATATAAGAAGGGTTGATTACAGGGGTGGTACCTAAAGTATTTTTAAATTCTTAATGTGGTACTTGAACTAAAAAAATGTACAATGTGGTATTGAAGTGAAGCTCCGTTTGATAAAGTGTACATTTCAGTTGCATTGGAGCAACAAGTGGTCAGGTGTCCTTCAGTCAATCAAATTCCACCATTTCTGATGCCATTTGGAAAATTAATTTCCACCTAAACCAAGCAATTGCATGTCTTAAAACAACATTCATCCACTCATTGGTTTACTTCATTTTCTTTTCCCTTAAGTTGTTTTTCCTTTTCTTGCAATTTTCTTCTTTCTCCAACCTCCCTATCACAAAAAACAAGAATCAATTATTTGTACTGCTTTACATTAAAGAAGATTCTGCTACCAAGATAAACAAGCTAAGCATTAAATATTATTAAATGCAAACTATGATGAACACAAACAGAATTGGTTATAATCAGTACCTCTTTATGGATTGAAAGATCTCTTGCGATGCAAAATGGCACCCTAGATCCCTTCATGCTGCAGTAGCAGCTAATCATCCCTTCACAAGTGTTGATCACCTGTATACCTCTGCCTGAATTTTCCCAATTTCTCATATAGGGAATATACTTGTTGCTGGAGAGGACAATAGAGATGATATTACCAAAGGAGTTATCTTGTCACCAATTTGGGGAATTTGGGTTTTGGTTGCAACGTGTTTTGGGGTTTTGGTGTTCCAATTTTGTTGCTTTTGCTTGTTTTTGTATTTTTGAGAGGGATTTGAGTTGAGAATAGGAGACAAGATTTGGAGTTCAAAATAGGGATGGGGCTTGAAAGCTTAATGCCAGTCACAGAGTGCTTTTTGAGGAAACACAGGTGGCAACAGCAGGGGAGATGGCTTTATTTTCTCTCAACTAGTTCACATTCTTGCACCATAGTTTTGTTTCATCTTGTAGATCATGGTATATGATTTCAAGAGTTATACATATTTGTTTTGACAAATTTGTTCTTGCACATTGAATGTGATTGCATATTGGTGAACGAAGAAAATGTGAAATTGAAGAAAAATAGAGAAAAAATAAAGTAAAAAAAAAGAAGAGAAAATGTGAAAAACTAATAAAAAAGGGTATATTGATGGGTGGATGACACTTGTTCTGATGTTGACATGTAATTAGTTAGTTTATGAGGAAATTAATTTCCCATCTGGCATCACAAATGGCAAGTTTTGATTGGCTGAAGGCAATCTCACCGCCCTTTGCTAACGGTGTTGGTGAAATGTATTAAACTTCAAGTGCCACAATGTATATATTTTTGAGTGCAAGTGCTTAATTAATCATTTGTTGATATATACCATCGGTGTAATTATAATTGGAAATATTTATTGTTATTGTCATCAGAGATGCACTGTTATAGACGATTTGTCTCATATCCATGTTGTATATGGGCTTAAAGAGATTTGTTGTTTACATTTTGCTTATAGCTCTGGGGTACGGGAAATGAATGCCAAAGTAAAACCACTTCAAGATATGCTATTGGCAGAACCTGAGCTCTCTCGATTAGGAAGGTAAGAAACACCTTACTGCAATTTCCTTCTGTATGCATTAGATGTATCATATTAATTTTTAATTTTAATACTAAAAAATGCAGGATAATAAGAAGTCACTGATCTCAGGATGTAGCATTCCATTTCTGCTTTTGGTTTGCGGTGACCATTTGTGTGTTATCCTGCCTCTGCCATGCTGCTACTTCTTTCCTCCTTTTTAGGTTGCTCTTAGTCTCTCTCATTTTCTCTGTAATGTACTTATGTAAATATATATGTAACATCAGAAGTCGAGGCAGGGTCATGTCTACTGTAAACATGACATTTTTCTGATGATGACAGATTCTTTTGCATACAGATGCCAGATTGGCGAAGAGAAATTGTTTCTGACAAGCATTTTTCTTGTCAAATTGATCACTTGTTGATTGTTAATGGCACGCAGAGCTGGTTAATCGGTAGTTGGTGCTCTAACATAAACACCATTCGATGTTTCCATGCATCGAATTTCTAATACATTTTGTGCATGGATTTAACAATGGCTCAATGTGAAGAAAGGAGATGCTTTCAGCGTTCTTGGTCGTTTGTGTTGGTCGCTGTGTTTCCTAGTCTCCTTTCATTTGGGTATATGAAAACAATAAACGAAGCCCAATAACTTAAAAAAATTAAAAAAAAAACCACACGAACGTTGTTTTCACCTTTTTAAAGGCCAAAAAAGAAAGAAATTAAAGGCAAGCAATCTGGTAGCACTAAGATTTTTTCAGGAAAAATTTAAACTAGTTTCCCTTTGCCCCTAGCCTGGGACAGCTACATGCACATGTGATCCCTGAGAACTTCGAGACATTCCCATGCTCGTCGCCTTTCATCTTTCACACTTATTAGTCAAATATTCATCATGGAAGCAGAGAAGAATAAGATAAAGCAAGATATGATCTCTTCGAGCATTTTTCTTTTTCAAGAAATATATTATTATTTCGCCATTATCGTTGACCTCCAACAATCACATGGGAGCCCTGACAAATCAATACTCAATAATTAAGTCAGATACAAAAATGGATATTCAGGAAGCTGCCCTGCTTCTTAATCGTTCATAAAACATAGTAGCACTCTTTTTCTCTATTTCAATTATCAATTGCTGGCTTTCTCTCTGCTGCTTTGTTTCTCATATTTCTGACCCTGAAGAAAGAACCATGTCCATGGCTGGACAGGCTACACTTTCTGCCTTTTTTGAATTGTTTGCGAAGTTGGCTTCTTATGATCCGTTCCTCAACTTTGTTACTGAAAAGCAGGTCAGCCAGCAGCTCAAGGAGTGGCAAAAAGTTTTGCCGAGTATTGAAGCAGTGCTCAATGATGCAGAGGAGAAGCAAATGAAGGACCAGAATGTGAAGAACTGGTTGGCCCAGCTACAAGACTTGGCTTATGATGTGGATGACATTTCGGAGGAGTTTGCCATGGAAGCTTTACATCGCAGGTTGCATGAAGATCAAGCCAGGAGAAGTGAGGTACGGAAATCTATTATTACCTGGTTTACTGGTTCCATTAATCCAAGCGCTTCTATGTTTAATAAGAAAATGATTTCAAAGTTAGAAGAGATAACTTCTAGATTGAATGGTTTGGCAGCACAAAAGGGTGGTTTGGGATTGAGAGAGATTGAAGAAGCTGCAACGTCCAAGAGAATGAAAGCAAGGTTGCAGCTTATGTCTTTAGTGGATGACACTCATGTGTATGGTAGGGAAAAAGAGAAGGCGGAAATACTTGAATTGCTCCTGAGCAATAATGGGAATGAGAATGAAGCTTCTGTGATTCACATCGTTGGCATTGGAGGGATTGGCAAGACAACTCTCGCTCAAGTTGTCTATAATGATAATAGCATAAACAAGTCTTTCGATCACAAGGCTTGGATATGCGTTTCTAAGGATTTTGATACCTTTTTGGTAACGAAGACAATTCTACAGTCAATCACTGAAGAGTATTGTATCGTTCCCTCTCTAGATACTTTTCATGTTATGTTGCAGGAGAAGTTGTCTGGGAAAAGATTTTTGCTCGTCCTGGACAATGTTTGGAGTGAGAATTATGGCGATTTGACCATCCTTGTAAAGCCCTTTGGAGTTGGAACCAAAATTATTGTGACAACACGGAGTTGCAAGGTTTCATCTGTTGTGAGCAATGTTGAAGCTTACCCATTGCAGCGGTTATCAGAGAAGGATTGTCTCTCTGTATTTACTCACTGTGCATTACAAGCAAGTAATTTTAGTGGGCATCCAGAATTAGAAAAAGTTGGGGAAAGCATAGTGAAAAAGTGCAATGGCTTACCTTTGGCAGCTAAAGCCATTGGTGGCTTAGTATGCACTCAGGTGGATCATGGAGTATGGAAAGATATATCAGAGAGTGAGATATGGGATTTGCCAGAAGAGCAATGCGGTGTGATTCCTGCTCTATTATTGAGCTATCAGTATCTTCCTCCATATTTAAAGCGATGCTTTGCGTACTGCTCTTTACTGCCTAAGGATTATGAATTTGAGGAAGAGGAGCTAATTTTGTTATGGAAAGCAGAAGGTTTTCTACAAGAAGCAAAGTCGAAAACTCAAATGGAAGGTGTAGGTAGCCAATACTTTCGAGATCTAGTATCAAGGTCATTTTTCCAAACTTCTAATAGGGATAAATCTCGGTTTGTAATGCATGACCTAATCCATGATCTAGCTCAATTCGTTGCAGGGGAAATATGCTTCAGATTGGAGGGTAATATAAAACAGAAAATATCAGAGGGCATTAGACATGCTTCTTATGTTCGTGGCTTGTATGATGGAGTGAAAAAGTTTGAAGCCTTCAATCAAATGAAACGTTTGCGAACCTTTCTACCATTTATGTTTCCAACTTATGGGGAATGTTTTCTAACCAACACTGTCCTTACTGACTTATTACCCAAACTTCGATGCCTAAGGGTGCTTTCATTGAAAGGGTATTGCATCACTCAGTTACCAAACCTTTTTGAGAATTTGATATATCTACGCTACCTTGATTTCTCTTACACTGCAATTAAAAGTGTACCAGATTCAATATGCAGCCTTTACAATTTAGAAACCTTACTATTGAGGAAGTGCTTTTTAGAAAAGTTACCCTCAGATATAGAACTTCTAGTCAACTTGAATCATCTTGATATTACTGGTTCAAAATCGATGAAAAGAATGCCCTTTGGAATTGGTAAACTGACCAATCTTCAGAGGCTTTCTAATTTTGTTTTGGGAGAAGGTGATGGGCATCGGATACGAGAGATAGAGTCATTGCATCTCAAGGGTGATATTTCTCTTTCAGGGTTGGAGAACATTGTTAAAGCTCAGGATGCATGGGAAGCTAAGTTAATCGACAAGTCAGGCCTTGATGGATTACGGCTAATGTGGAGTACCAATTTTAATCATTATATAAGAAACAAAGCAGTTGAAGAAGAGGTATTGAACATGCTTGAACCTCACAGAAAGCTTAAAAGGCTCATCATTGAGAATTATGGTGGTACAAATTTCCCAAAATGGATAGCAGGTTCTTCTTTGAAACACTTGTTGTGTTTGAATCTCAACAACTGTAAAAATTGCAAATTACTGCCATCAATTGGAAATCTACCACTGTTGAAAGATCTCTCTATCAGGGGAATGCATGATGTGAGTAAGGTTGGCATTGAGTTCTATGGAGAGAATCAATCAATCGCATTTGTATCATTGGAGAGGTTATGCTTTGAGGATATGCCAAAATGGAAGGAGTGGGACTTCGATGGAGATGGTAAGCAAGTTGCAAGATTTCCCTGCCTACGTGAGTTTTGTATCATTGACTGTCCTCAATTGTTGGGAAGGTTACCGAACTCTCTTTATTCCTTAGAGACACTTGTAATTCGTAGGTGTTCAGACCTGGTGGTTTCAGTTTCAAACCTTCCAATGCTGTGTGACTTAGAAATAGATGGGTGTGCAGAGTTGGTGCTTAGAGATTATGCAGACTTTCCCTCCTTGAGAAGAGTCTCTCTTTCAAATATTTTAAAACTTTGTACCCTGACGGAGAGGCTAGTATCAAGATTAAAAAGCCTGGAACATCTGAAGATTAATGGTTGTAAGGAGTTGACATTCTTGTCATGGAAGCAGTTGGGATCAGTTGAGCATTTGAGTACTCTCCGTGGTCTGGAAATTTGGAGTTTTCCACAACTTGTCTTATTAGAGCCAGAGGAGGTAGAGGAAGAGCAGTTGCAACAGGGGAAGCTTTGCAATATTGAGTCTCTGACAATAGGGAGATGTGAAAGGCTTAAGAGGCTACCGGAGGACTTGCATTTACTCACATTTCTGACGGTGGTGCGAATTGAGGAGTGCCCATGCATAGTTTCTTTTTCAAACAATAACTTGCCCCCAGCTTTAAAATGGTTAGTGATTAAGAGTTGCGTGAATCTGCAGTGTATGGTGGATGAAGGAGATTATACCAGCATCAGTAACACGTCTTCTTCAGCACTTGGAAATTATACAATGTCCATCACTAATAAGTTTATCATTACCCATTAGGCTTCAAATTCTCAAAATCTCAAGGTGCACAAAGCTGACTTCCTTATCCTCCAGTGGCGAGTTACCCACAGGGCTTAGACAGCTATTGATTGTTGACTGCACAAAGCTGGAATACATTGTACAAGCAACTCATGAAGACTCTTGTCTTGAACATCTTCGTATTTGGGGGTGTAAAAACATTAAATTTTTACCTCGAGGATTAAACAAGCTCAACCATGTTCAGAAGATTGAATTATGGCAGTGTGAAAATCTGGTTTCCTTGATAGAAAGTGGGTTGCCCACCACCAACCTCAGAGTACTTCGGATTGGTGAGTGTCATATATTAGAAGCACTGCCCAATATGCAGAACCTCAACGCTCTTAAGGAATTGATGCTGCAGAATTGCTCACCTCACACGTCCTTTCTAGAAGAGGGCTTTCCTACCAACCTGACATCACTTTCAATCTCAGTACCTCAACTTTGCAGCTCACTACTTAAATGGGGATTGCATAAACTCACCTCTCTTAAAGATCTCTATATTAATGGTGAAGAATGTCCAGATGTGGTGTCATTCCCACTAGAGGGGAGAGGAATTATGTTGCCTCCTTCTCTGACTAGTATCACCATGAAAAATTTTGAAAATCTGAGATGCTTATCCTCCAAGGGGTTTCAAAACCTCACCTCTCTTCAGGAATTGTGGATATTTGATTGCCCCAACCTCACATGTCTGCCGGAAAAGGATATGCTTCTTTTGCTTTCGAAATTGTATATTTGGAACTGTCCATTGCTAACATATCAGTGCATATGGTCTCAAGGACGAGAGTGGTTGAAGATATCCCACATACCTGAAGTTCTAGTTGATCATCAAAGCATCATTCCAAAGGCTAGTTGGACAATCCAGCCCTGATTTCCTCATGCTCAAACCACAGGTATAAATCATTTTAAAGATATGGCACTTTAAGAGTTTTTCTTTATGCTTTATTTGATTTTTGCAAACAACAAAATAATAATATTAATTACAATTCTTTTGTTTGAGCCATTGGAGGCAATCCCAAAGCTTGGAAGCTAAAATAGTGGTGTTTTTAGGCTACGATCAAACATCTTAGGAGATAAATACCAGGAAGATTTTGGGGGCAATAAAAAATTGTTTGTGATGGAGCTACATCTTCGATATCTATATAACCCCCTCACCTGCATAAACTAAGAGACCAATGACACAACAGTGGCGGCAGCAGTGCTGGTTTAATGCCTTGTTATTACACTAGAAGGAAAATGCAATGGTCAGTAGGCATTGACACTTTTCGAACTCGATGGTTCTGATGATTTGAAGTCACTCCTGCAAATATGTCCCATTTTAGCCATAAGATTAATGCTCTGGTTCTTTTTGTGTGCCTCTAGGTAATTGGAAAGAATAATACACAATCATGGATGTAAAGACCATGCAATGGGATTTCAATACTAGCCCCAGGTGAGGTTTTTGCTTTGATTTATCCTTTTCTCATCATCAAATTTTTCATGTTTACATGTTTTTATTTATCTTTAAGTATGACTCACTATACATTATTTGGAATTCAGTTAATGCCAGCAAATACTCAAAACTCATCTGGGTTTTCAAAAGTTTTCTAGTATTCTTAAGAGTGTTGATGATGGATGAGCAACAATAAATGTAGCTTATAAGATTTTATAAGTTGAGTCAGGATCATGAAGCTGGTGGTGCAGCTATAGCTCCAGCTAATAACATATCGAAGAATTGCTTGCCAAACAAGACCTGCAGGTCGGAATCTGATTCTACCCAAACATTAACCTCTCAATTATGGTCAAATCATCATGCCACTTGTCTTTCTGTTCTCTCGTCTATATATGGAACATCAAATAACATTGTAATCTTTGGATATCCAACCTTTTAGTCATTATTGATATAAATTTCTGAATGTAGTGCATTTGGTTAGTTTGCTTATCATGGGTTCTCAGACTTGAAGCATAGACTTTGTGCTCCTGAATGGTACTTAAACTAGATAAGTTACTGATTGGAAATTAAGATTACTATATCATAGTTCTATTTATAAATTTACAGCAACAAGAAAATTTTTGTACCTTAATTCCCAGTATTGATCATTTCTTGAACAAGTGTGATGACATTAAAATTTTTGTATTTTACTTCCATGTAACCATATCAAATGAAAAGTTGCCTTTATTCATCTGTCCTCCTAATAGTACAAATATGTCTGCTTGCTTTTCTGTCTATGCATTTTAGTTTTATGGCCAGCTGCTTGGAAGAATTGTTTATCATCTGTCCTCCTAACAGTACAAATGAAAATTTTCTTGGGATGTAGATTGTACTCTGCTTTGGGTTTGTAGGGATCATTTGCGTGTTCGTTGCTGCCACTGCAACCACTGCTGCTTCTACTTTTCCTTTGTTTCATAGGTTACTCAGATCTCTCTTATTTTCCAATGTAATATAATTATACGTAATTGATTTCTTTACATCATAAGTCCTAGAACAGTCTGGCTTTAAGGAGACTTGGTGAAGTCTTTGAAGCATGTTGCCCTGTCAAACTTATCACCTGTTGATTGTCAGTGGCATCCAGAAGAAGTGAATGGTTATCATCTATCACCTGTGCAAACAGCTGGATTACCAGTTCTCTTTCTCCCACTAGTATTTTTTCCTTCCCCTAAGAAGTTGCCAAGATAGGCCATGGGTTTCTTCCTATGTATTTCAACTTTTTGTTCATTCATAGCTTCCTATGTATCACAACTTGTTTTTAAAATTTTAATTTAGCTTTTCAATGAATGATTTCTCTTATTCCCAAAATAAAAAAATGTAGTACTACAAATTTGGCATCTACCAATCAACTATCTTATAAAATTCTAGTGTTTGATCACTATTATAGTTCGACCACACTATAAAAAATTCTTGATAAGTTCTTATTTCGATTAAATTCAAGTTTATTGAATGTTTCTAATCAAAATTCTTATAAATAATTTTAATTGAATGTCTCTTGAATCATGGTAAAATTAATTACTAAGTAATTTTAATTCAAGCTTTTGATAGTTTTAATAGCTAAGCTATAGTTTGCACTTTTCATTAATTATAACTTGCGGTTATTCTTCTCACCCTCCTAATAGTTCAAATATGCGTGCTTACTTCTCTGTTTATGCACTTGTCATTAACACTTGCCAACACATTTATTATAATTCTATTAATTAGGTACTTGTTTATTGCCAAATATTTCTTCTATTAGGTTTGCTTGTACACTCCATTGATATTTTTTTGGAATTTAAAATATATTCTTTTACATTGTCTAACAATTCGATTGTCATAATTTTTTTTATAAAAAATAAACACCAATAAAGTATTTGTTCATTGTTTCTATACCATTTGTAAATACTTGTCAAATAGTTGAAATCAAATAAAGTAATATTATTCTTTAAAATTTTTCTCCATCTGTCTCATTTTTATCCATCTCCATTGAACTTTTACAAAATATAAAAGAATTGATTTTGACGTATTTATATTAAATTTTTTATTTTTTATACATAAAATTGAGGTTTTGTGGTTTTAATATAAAAAATACAAAAAGATCATGAAAAATAAAATTTCAAAATAAAAGAAATTAAAATTAATAAGGAAGTCATTCAGCCTAACATATATAGCTGTTTCATCTGAGCATTTCATGCATGGATGCTTTTCATTTTTTAATGAAAAGTACTAATACAATATTTACATTGCTCTACAACTATTACATAAATAAACCAATATTTTCATTGGCAGAAATATTACATTTGGATATTTAATTTTCTACATTCAATGCATTGGCAGTATTTTTTAACGTTATAAGTAAGTTTAAAGCGTTGACATGTATTCATTTAGGTATATTTAAAAAGAAAATAATGAATTATTTAATTATTAAATAAACATATAAAAATTTTAAACTCACTTGTGGAATTAAAAGAATTTACTATCAATATACAGAATAATAATATATTTTTTCATAAAACTAAACAAACTCATCACTTTACTTTTTTCATTCTCTCTTTTTTTTTTTTTTGCTATATTTTGATACTTGTAGGGTTACTCACATTTTTCAAGTAATTAAATTTATTTATCATATGAATAATTTAAAAAAATTATTAAAAAATAAAAATAACTAGGGTTTGGGGAAGTAAGGGGCAAACAGCACCATTTAGGAAAGATAGCAACTTGAAAAAATATAATAAGGTTTAGGTTATCCGTTGGATGATAGCCAAAATGTACCCAAACTCGAATTAGATATTAAAAGCTTAATCCAAACTTGTTACATAAACAAATATGGGATACTCAAACCTTATGTTATT